ATTGTATGGCATCTGAATTATGTCTTGATAAAGCTGTTACCAAAAGAAAAACAGAAAGCAATATGCTAAGATGGTTCATAACAATAATAAAAGCATAGTGACAGATCATCAAAAAAAATGAGAGCAGAGAACTGTTTGCAATGGTGAAATGGGAGATTAAAATTGTCAAAATGAGAAAAGAAAGACTGCATGTGGATTCTACTCATTGGTTGTTCCGTTCTCTCTGCCCTCTTCTTTTCAGGCCTGGTTAGGATGTTCTATTCTAAGAAGGCCCACAGTCCCGTTTGCTGGCTGGATGGTAAGTCAGGAGTAAGAGTCACTAGAGCTCTGCCACTCAGAAGCAGCAGCTGCGGTCTGGCCACAGCAGAGCAACGAAGTGCAAAAGGAGGAAGAAGCCTTGGCAGTTACTATGCCAACAGCCATTCTCTACCATGGAGGTAAAAAGAATAGGAAACTCATGAATTTGTGATTCATAAATTGCAAATAATATGTGTGCTTTAACTCAAATAGCTTAAAATTAAGGGAAGGGAATGTGAAAGCAATGCAAGAAAGAATCCCAGATCCCTGGAATATCATGTAACATTTTATTAGCTTAACCCCTGGATGGCAAGATGCTTTAGCCCAGACCTCCATAAGTATACCCAGCCTCTCTCTAGTTCCCATTAAACTCACTCAGATCAATAAAGTATCAATGCAGACCCCCTTCCTCCCTGCCTCCCCTTTCCACTCTAGTTTTCAGAAGTTAGCCATTTAATTACCTTGGAATTTGATGTAGCCTTTCAACAACATGTGAATACAAGCTTCATTAAGGGCAAGATTTTGGTCCTCTCATCTCCTGTGATATTCCCGAACCTAGCACAGTGCTTAGCACATCATCATCATCATCATCATCATAGCTAATGCTTACAGAATATTCATTATGTGCCAGGATCTCACAACAGTATCTAAGGAATATTATTATTATTATTATTATTCTACAGGCTGTTCAAATCAGCAGTTCTACTTCTCTTCTATACAAATAATCATGAATGTGCACAAGTATTCAACAACAGTAATATATGTGTTGTCACTGTTTTTAAGCATTTTATTCATTAATCTTCTTAACAAGCCAGCAAGACTGGTACTCTTATTAGCCTCATTTTATAGTTGACAAAAGTGAGATCAGAGAGATTAATTAACTTGGCTAGGGTCACGCAATAAGTACTAGAGATAAGATTTGAAACCAGAGTCTATGTTTGTAACCACTATGTTATACGGCTACAAAGACAGCCACAGCAGGGGTTATTTATATGAGGAACTGGGAAAACCTAGACATCTAACAATAGGGAACTGTTTTTAAAAAATAAATGAAAAATAGAATATCATTGATCCACTTAATATTGTAGAACAGTTAATGACACAGAAAAATGTGTTCAATATAGTGTTAAGTTAGGATGAGAAGTAAATTTCATTTTTTTTAATGAGATGGGTCTCACTATGTTGCCCAGGCTGGCCTCAAATTTCTGGGCTCAAGTGATCCTCCTGCAAAGCTGGGATTATAGTCACAAACTCCCATGCCCAACTAAGGCACATGTTTGTTTGTTCATTTGTTTGTTTGTTTAAAAGAAGAGGAAACTTTATTTCTTTTAAAGGTTATGGCCTGCAGGGTGGCTATTCTGACAGGCTGGGAAGCACAGCCTCCAGTCAGAAGCCGGAAACAAGATACTTTGAGAGAGTGGCAAAAGAAACAGGAATTTATGCTGATCAAGGTGGCCAAATACACATATTCAATAAGCTATTGAAGGAGCCATGAATATTTATGAAAGGAGAAACATACACATGTGCAATTGAGGTTCTTGCTCTCCAAGTTCAAAAACTGAGGTGATCAGAGGGCGGAGTTTTCAGTCCTCTGACGTTAAAAAGTGAAGCAGAGGCCGTGAAACCCCTTACTGCACATTCTCAAAAAAGACTAGCCAGAACCACTCCTGTGGTCAGTGGTCTCTTATCAGGTAAAAAAGGAAGGACAGTGTCAGAAAGTTTGTTTATATCAGT